ATGTATGGGAACAAAACTTATGTGGACTGACTGAATATGAATATAGTTAAGGTAATGCTGACTTTGGTCTCTCTAACACTGTGGCATGTTCCCTTTCTTCTATACTCACTGCATTCACCTATTCTCTGTCTCAGACTGTATACCAGGAACTTCTGCCTGCTAGTAAGAAGGTAAGGAGAGAATTGGACATGTGAGTGCTAGGACATGGAGCGAGCGCATCATTAGGCGCATTTATGCATTTAGGCTAGCCTTCCAATTCTTTAGACAGACATGCCTCCTTTTTTGGGCATGTTCGTCCCTTTTGGGAAGTTCTGGTTACATGATCCACGTCAGTGGCCCACCCTATTACACCGCCCATAGACTTCCTGCTTCACTGGACACTGCTAATATGTAGTATGGATTTACTTGAAAGATGAAAGCATGAATTAGAGAGAGATTAGCATATTTTAATTCTTATAGCTGCATCCTATGAGTTTCCCTCCAGCAACATCTCCACCAGATACATAACCCTTGAGAGGTATGACTGTTTTAGTGTGTTTGGTCGATAAGATTCTGTACTTAGGCTCCTTATAAATGTCAGCAACAGGCCCACTGGGCTCTTAATCTGGCCCTGCTCTTGGTAAGGAGATTTTCAGAGCTACTGAATCCACAAAAAGACATAGAAACAGAATCCTTGTGGTAGGCAACATTTTGGATTTTTTTGTAATTTATTAGCCAAGCATGAGCTTGCAAAAACTGAGTGGTAAACAGAAGATTCGTGCCCAACTGTTCTTTTGAGTGTCCCTTCAGAAGCCAATTGTCTAAGTACAGGATGATGGCTATGCCTCTTAGTCTCAGTGCAGCTGCTAAGGGCTGAAGAATCTTTGTGAAAATGCGAGGGGCTGATGAAAGGCCAAGTGGAAGTGCCTTGAAGGGAAAATGAAGAAGCTTCTGTTTGCTTGATTTTATTGCAAACCTGAGGTACGTTCTTGAACTTACATCCATTGGAACATGAAGATAAGCATCCTTGAGATCTATTTTTGCCATGTATTCTCCCTGCTGAAGAATATGTGGTACCGAGAGGATATTTTCCATACAGAAACGTTGGTATGGAATGCAGGAGTTTACTATCTTGAGATCTAAAATAGGGCAAAAGCTTCTGTCTGGTTTTTGGACGAGAAAAAGTTGAGAGTATACCCCCTGGAACTCTTGGTTTTTAGGTACCTTTTCTATGGCTCCTTTGTTTAAGAGAGTCAGCTAGACCATGAGAAGGACTTCTGATTTCCTTTTTGAATTGGATGTTGATACCAGGAATTCTGAAGGTGGGTTCTCTGTAAACTTTATCCTGTAGCCTTCTGCTATAGTACGCAATATCCATTTGTTGATGAAATATCTCAGATGCCCCCCCCACTCCTTGAGCTAAATATTTTTAGTTTTGGAACGTCAATCTCGTATAACAGTTTTTGGCCTTCCAATCAGGAATTGTCGCTTAAACAATTGTTGGCTAAGTTAATGATGTTGTTTTGTCTATTGTTGTGTAAACTAGTTTCAGACATACAATCTCTTGACTTGAATGCTGTGACCTTTTTGCCTGAAAGGATTTCTTTTGCCATTTCACACAGGACTAAATCAGCCATGAAAAAGTTTTCTACCTAAGATTCTCTGATATTCCTGCGTTATGCCCCGTCTCATGCTTGAAGGCCTATCTTAACTAACAGAACCTCTTCGATCTTCATCCTCTCTTAATTTCTTTCTGGAATCCTCATTTTCCAGTTTCCACGCCATGGTACGGTGGATTCGTTGTTTTTTGTCATTGGTGGCAGTTGCCACCCCCCCACTCAGTTTGGAGGATATATTACAAGCTGCTGATTTGTCTCATGATTCTACTTTTCAATATTTCTATTTTTGCCCCGTTGAGCATTTTTCCTCCTGTGTAATTGCTAGCATAATATGAGCCTTTTGTGTCATTAATAAAATTCCCAGTTTTTATTATTTACATGATGCAAAGTCATGATCTTATTAATGACATGGAGACAAGTATTATTCCCTCCCACCCTTCCCTGGATGTTCTGATGTCAAGTATCTAGGTTTTGATTCCTCTAGGTAAGTGACGATAAGTATGTGTGGTCATTTCATTCCATATGCTTAAGGTTTTGATTGCCTGGTATGCTTCCAATTTATATTATTAATGATAGTTTTTGATTAAGAGTATTAGTCATGACCTCCGAAGTAGGATTTAAACATACACACACGGATATATATATATATATATTTATATATATATATACACACAATACACAAGACCCAGCGCACTCACCTATCCACGAAACAGCAACTTCAATGTTGAAAGATTTTATTTATTTTTTTAAAAACACCTAATCTAGGCAAAAATAATAGGGGTTTAGATTGTGAGTGCGCTGGATCTTGTGTAATTTGGCCCCCAGCAGCACTCCCATTTATGCATGTTCAGGTGAGTGCAGCCAACCCCCCCCTTGTTTTATATATATATATATATATACACATACACGTACACACACAAACTCTGTGTGGGCACTGTGTGTGTGTGAGGGCGCTGTTAGTGTGTGTGTGTGTGTGTGTATGTGTAAGGGTGCTGTGTTAGGGTGCTGTGAGTGTGTTTGTGAGGGTGCTGTGTGTGTGTGTAAGGGTGCTGTGTGTGTGTGAGGGTGCTGTTAGTGTGTGTAAGGGTGCTGTTAGTGTGTATGTGTGTGTGTGTGTGTGTGTGTGTAAGGGTGCTGTGTGTGTGAGGGCACTGTGTATGTGTGAGGGTCCTTTTAGTGTGTGTGTGTGTGTGTGTGAGGGTGCTCTTAGTGTGTGCTGTGTGTGTGAATGCGTAAGAGTGCTGTGTGTGAAGGTGCTGTGTGTGTGAGGGTGCTGTGTGTGTTTGTGTGTGTGTGTAAGGGTGCTGGGTTTGAAGGTGCTGTGTGTGTAAGGGTGCTGTGCTGTGTGTGTGGGTGTGGGTGCTGTTAGTGTGTGCTTTGTGTGTGTGAGGGTGCTGTTTGTGTGTGGGTGCTGTTTGTGTGTATTGTGTGGGGTTGGGGGGACCGTTTAGTTAATAGCCCCCCTCCCTTCTTACCTTTTGCAGGGTGGGGGGACCGTGCTGCTGCCATCCCTGGTGGTCCAGTGGTGAGTGAACTCTAGCCTCCGACCTCACGAGAGGAACCTGACAGAGCTGCTGGCTAGAGCTCCCCGGGTTCTCTCCTGCCTCCCTCCCTGCCTTTGATCTCCCTCACCGGCCCATGGAAGCACATAGCGCAGGCCGCGGGGATTAGGGTGTGCCCAGGCACACTCGGCACACCCCGTGTGCACACCTATGACTGTTACTATGCATGTTTTGTACAGTTTTTTATATTCAATTAATTCTTCTTAAATTTTTTCTTTGCTGACGGAAACTAAAGGAAGAGAATGTATAATACTCACCTCCGTGTCATTAATAAAAATCATGAATTTACGTCATCTAAATAGTAAAATCTGGGAATTTTTAACATTTATTTCAGGCTCTTACATTTAAAAGCAAGTGTTTCTTCTATTCCATGTAGATTATGGCTTCCCACTGGGCATGGTCAAAAACACGGAAGGAAACTCATGGATGGGTATTCTGAATATATCTTTGCAAACCACATGATATTTTTTAAATTGTACTTTCATTTTTTTTTTTAATTTACATCACAATGCCCTCCATTATGCTGGCTTTGTCAAAAACAGATGTAAACAACGTGAAATAGTGCTTCAGTTATAAAGCCAAATGGAAGGACCATTTGTATTCAGACATCAACATATACTACCAGTGGAGAAAGTATCACCTCTTAGCAAAATGTCAGAAGTAAAAAATTTCCTGTACATGACAATATTAACTAGTTTATACTGTAGATTGAAACAAACGGAATTTGCAATGGTGTAGATGTAGAGAATTGGCTTTAGGATAACTATAAGAAAGTTTACATTTTGTGTGCGGTTTTTAGAATCAGTAATGTAGTTAAGCATCTGTCTTTGCATAGATATAGAGTTATACATAATTGTCTAAATATATAAATAGACATAACCATATGTATTGAAAACAGTGAATACATTTATTTCTGTATGTTCTATTTCCTATCTCTTATTTGGTTTTTTTGAATTAAATTCTGAATTCAATTTTCTTTTTTTTAAATTTTGTGCTTCAATGTCCAGTAACTGTTCCTATGTTAATTAATTCGATTTTATGTGTTGAAGTTATCTGGTGGAATTAACTTATATATGTGAGTTCTACTGTCCACTGCAATAAAAACATGTGCTCGATTTTCCAGATGGTGAATAAAATGTTCTGGTAGTATTGGATAGGTTTTGGACTGAGAGCGCTTTTTGTCTGCATTGATTTTGTTCCAGTACTCATTATATTATGACTTTAGCTTTGGTTACGGGTTTCTCTAGTAATGTTTTATACACTTTATAGTGTAACACGGTCTCTTCTAATCAAATCTAGGCTGTCACATTCATATTGGAACTAATTGATTACACAAAATTTAATTATCTGTTCAACATGTTTATTTCAAAGATCTCTGCTTTGTCCTCTTCAATACCTATTTAATACTTACCAAGTCACCCACCCTTAGTACTACCTCAATTGTTGACTGTCACAACCCAATGGCAGAAGCATGAACATACTTTAGATGTAGCGGATTTCCACGAAACTTATAACATCTGTAAATGAATGCTCTCTGTGGGATCATATAGTGAAATGGATTATAGCATTTTGGATTACATCTTTCACTAATTCACTAGCTGAACATGGGATCATCATCCAAATGTCTTACTTCCCTGGCAGTCATATTCACTTGTAGCTAATTTTGGACTCATGTCAGTGTTTATGCCACCAGCCTATTTTCCTGACCTATCGTCGTCTGCATTTCTTGACATGTCCCCTGCCAGGCCTTGCAAGCAGTAAATTACTTACCCTATTGACAGCAGTATTGCACAAAACAATTTTACAAACTTGCAGGGTTATTTAATAAAGTGAGAAATGTTGGAAATTCAAATTAATTTTCAAATCTTAGGCCAGAGTAGCCGAACCAGGAATATTTTCCATGTTGGCTTCCAGTTTGGGTGCTTTGAGCTTTAAAACGTTACTCAGTACAAGAGGCCGTGTCAGTGATTTGAAGTGGTCATGGTGCCTGGAGTCTGTATGTGCTGCATTTCAGTATGAAATGATTCACAAATTGAGAAGAGCTGCATCTTCCATGAGGCTAACAAGGCATTTTCCCCCATGCACCCTGGCACATGTCTTGTTAGCTTCTTTCATGGGGGGGCCCCACTGTGACTGCGTACCTCCGCCAAGTCAGCTTCATATCTCCTATCAGTGACCCTGGAGCATTTTATACCCAGTCACCGCAGCTTTACTGGGGTCACTGAGGACCTCTTCCACCCTGGGCAAGGCTGCAGTGTAAATAGCGCTGGACACCCCCCTCTCCTGTAGAGCAGTGATTATAGTTTTTCAATAGCCTTTCCCCCACACATGAAACAAGTCTGAATGCAGGGGGTAGAAACAAATCTATATTGCATGCATACAGGTTTCAATAGAATGCATTGCACAACTGTCCCTCCCTGGCGCCATTCTGTCTGGGGACTTAATCATTATCCCTAGCTAACTCAATTGGCTCACTGCTGTGTCCTCAAAGTTCTAAATGCACAGCATACAAAATGTCCACCAGAACCCATTTTCTCTGGTCCATACTCCCACACAATATATTTTCCTGGAAAGTATGTCATCGAGTGCCCTTGCTGTCCAAATAGCATCCTGATCCGAGAATCCAGGCTCAAGATAAAGCTGTGTTGTGGCTATTTTCCAAACCAGAACTTATTGCCGGCATGTGGCAGCTTAGTCACAGCCTCCAAAAAGGTGTTCTAGGAAGGGAAGCGCACTCAAGCGCCAGCTATCCTTCTTGCCTCCCTGACCTCCACTGCAAATAGCACTCTATTTGGAGGTCAGGGGACCAAGCAATTTACACCTAAAGATTTACTGGACCTCCACAAGGTCCCAACCTGAGAAACAGTTATAGGTGTTTCAGGGTATCTCCTGGTCAGGTGCTTGAGGTGTAAATCGCAGACACAGGTCTGCAGCTCTGAAGTGTGCAGAGCTTCAGTCCATGTGTCTCGCGAAAACTTGCCTATCAGAGCATTGCCGCGGGTTACCACGGTGCCCTCTGACGAATCTCGCGAGATACATGGTCTGCAGCTCAACGGATATAATGGCCCCCGGACCACCAGGGAGCCCACTGGACCACCAGGCAGCCCACACTGGATCACCAGGGAATACAAAAAGGTATTTAGTCCCCCACTCACCATCACCCCACTCCCTCTCACCATCACCCCACTCCCTCCCACCATCACCCCCCTCCCTCACACCATCACCTCCTCTCACCATCATCCCTCCCTCACACCATCAACCCTCCCTCTCACCATCATCACCCTCTCCCTCACACCATCATCCCTCCTCTCACCATCACTCCTCCTCTCACATTACCCCCTCTTTCCCTCTTACATCACCCCTTTTCCCTCTCACATCACCCCTTTTCCTATCACCATCACCCTCCACCATCACCCACTCCTCTCACATCACCTCTCCTTACACCATCACCCCTCCTTCTCATCATCACCCTTTCCCTTACACTATCACCCACCTCCCTCACACCAACACCCTCTCCCTCTCACCTACTCCCTTCTCCCTCACACCATCACCCCCTCTCCTCTCACCATCCTCCCTCTTCTCACATCACCTCTACCTCTCATCCCTCCCATCCTTTTACCATCACCCCTCCCACCCACACACCATCACCCTCTCACACACAAGATCACCCCCCACACACACAGTATCACCCCCTCACACACACAGCCTCACACACTGTCATCATCCCCCAAACACTCTCAGCCTCTTCATGCATCCACACTCACATTAACCACTCCTAATCCTCTTAATCTCACCCCCTCCAAACTCACCTGCCCTCACTCTGCCACACTCGCCCTGTCACATTAACCCCCCCTTCATGCTGTCACACTCGTCCCTCCTACCATGCCACACTTATCTCCACTCGCCCTGTCACACTCCCTCATCAAACCATGTCATACTCCCTGTCCCTCATTCTGTCACACAAAATTCGTCCGAATGTACATTCGGAACGAAATGAATTACACATGTCTAGTTTCAAATATTGAATGGTAAATTACACTATATAAACAATAGGTTTATGCACTAAGTGAAAATTCAAAGTGAATTTTAAATTTAAAGGAACACTATAGGATTAGAAACACAAATGTCTATTTCTCACATAGTAGTGTTAAAAACACTAGTTATCCCTCCCGACTCCTCCTTGCTCCCCAGCTTCTCCTTGCCCCCCTTAAATATAGTAACAATGCACCTTATTTCTAGCACAACGCAGGTCCATCGACACTGGCTCTGCCCATGCTCCACCCCCTTGGCTGACATAATCAGAATAGATGATTTTAGCCAATCAAAATGCTTTCCCATAGGACAGCATTGGATAGGCTGAGATATTCAAATCTGTTACTCACAGCCAAGAACATGTGCCGGGGGTGGAGCCAAATGCCACCCTGGCCAATCAGCATCTCCTCATAGAGATGCATTGAATCACATTGTGAAGCACTGACCCAGGAAGCACCTCTAGTGGCTGTCTGAAGAGTGGCCACCAGAGGTGTTCCTAGGCTGTCATGCAAACACTGCCTTCTCTCTGAAAAGACAGCGTTTACTGCAAAAAGCCTGCAGGAACTTACTATACTCACCAGAACAACTACATTAAGCTGTATTTTTTCTGGTGACTATAATGTCCCTTTAAGACCAGAGTAACCAAGTTGACAGATTAGCCAACAGAGAATTTTTCCAGTCGGCTATTTTGAACCTAAATTTGAAATTCACTTTGAATTCTCACTTTAGTGAATAACCCTGCATATCTCTAAGGGCTAAATGAATACATTAAAATGTAAACTGGTGTAATTTTGTCGTAATGTAACTGCTTTAGGGCATCTGTTCATGGATTTGCTTTTTTTTCCATTATATTCTAGCTATGTATACAATGTTCCAATTAAAATAACTCAGCAGATAAATAGTTAAGATAGTGCAGCTGTTTTTGGGTATATATTTTTCTAAACCTATTTCCTGAAGACTGAACACAACGGGACATGTAGTTCACAATATCTGGCCGTTGCTGACTTTCCTTAGGCTGTATTTCCCATTATGTGGAGTGTAGATCACATCTGAGATGGGACTGCAGACTGATCTGAATAATAATTTATTCTCTACCTCTTTGCCTCGAAGAATGATGTCATCCAATAGACTAACAGTTGTTTATCTCTTTCTCAGAACGCACACAGAGAATGCTACCTACTGTACTGAAAGATCGCTCGGTTAGACCACTGTCCAAATGGCATTTTGCTGGCCACAGGAAATTAAAGACGAATAAAAGCTCTTGATGGCTCAGATGAAAATAACAAATTACATCATGTCTTCTAATGCATCAAATAAATAGACACAGCTGAGCTTGCTCCCTGGGTTGGCATAAAACAGCCTTTAACCCTTTTGTTTGATTTCAAATAACTATTTAAGAAAAATACAAACTAACAAACATGGGTCTTAATTGAATATTTTTGGATTAGCTTTAGATTTTTAAGGTATATTCAACAATATTAAATTATTTTGAAAGTTTATCCAACAATATTAAATCAAGGTCATAAAATGATTAAAAAAATATTAAAAAAATAAATCAGTTGGCAATTTACTGTTTTGTTTGTATTTTATTTGGAATATTTGTAAAATAGGATTCAAATTAAAATTTGCAATAAAAATTGCATTGGCTACAGTTTATCATTTAAAAGATTACGGGATACATTTAGGCCCCCTATAAAGAGTCATGCTGGGGAAACATTCTAAAAGTTCTTCCATCCCCTTCCAGTTTTAAAAGAGAGAAAGCTCTCCCTGCCTCCTACCATTTGCCTGTCTAGTGCCATTACTGCTCAGAATTAAAGAAGCCCTTGTAATTCTAGAACAAGCAGTTGAACAAGAGATGCACACTTTCTTACTTTCTGACTGCCCTTGCATCATATTCCAACTTCTTGGGACTTGTGGGGGTTTGGGGCACTAATTAAAGGTGAGCTTCTTAGTGCAGCCTCCAAAAGTGTAGAATCCAAGCCGATAACTATCAAAAAAATCTTCACTTAACTGCCCTTAAATTTATTTGAAAGTAACTGAGATGATTTGGACTGGGGGAAAGTGCTACACTGCAATTATAGCCTATCTAACCTTCTCTACACTTCACAAACTAACCTAATCTGTCAAAAAACCCTGTCAATTGAGTTACCCTATATTTTTCAGTGCACTTAAAATACCATTCATGTAGTGTTAGTGTTTTTGTAACTAGTTCGTTTTTATGAGCCTCCTCTTCCCTCCCACCGCTGCTCCTCCCTTTGCAGATGATCTCAGTCAACACAATGTTCGCCAATAAGAACATCTGGTGTCTTCCTGCAGAGTGTCAAGATGCTGAATATTGGTCCAGCAAAGATTGCAAGACCACTCCAGGAAGCTCTTCTAGTGGCTGTGTGATTGTCCTTTTAAGTTAATGGAAAAACTGACACATACACATGTGCTCTGAGACTGGAAATCAGTCAGATCAAATGCTTCTCAATGAGAAGCATTGGATTCGACTTCGGAGAGGGAAAATGTAATGCGGCGTGACAATAGACAAGGCGTGGAAGAAGCTTGATTCCCGGTAAGTTTATTCTTATTTAGCAAGCTACTAGTGCTCAGTATGGCATTATTAAATAAAGGTAAAGTGAAAAAAGGTGGCGTAACCCTTTTATCCAATCTTTCCTGTTTAAGGGTCTCCACCTGTTTTGTAGTGGCATTGAGATGCCCAGGGCCCTGACAAGTTAGATTATTTTGAGTATGCCACCGGCCATTTTACCGGGCACTCGGAAGGACTTACTTTATTGCTTACTAGCGCCCGGTAGAACACAGGTCCGGCTGCATAAAGATCAGCCCACTCAGCCAGGCCCCCCATCCCAGACATGCTTTGCGGGTGCTTCAATTCCTCGCTCCCGCCCCTTCCGCTGTACATGGGGAGAAGTGGGGTTGGAGCATAATGTGCAGAGAAAGGAGGAAATGTGCAGAGAAAGGGCAGCCAGGCGTAGGGAATGAACACCAATGAAGGTAAGGTATGTCAG